CACTTCTTTACTCAGTAGGTGGTAAAAAATGCTTAAGTAGTATTGAAACCAGAGCAGTTTCAGTTGCACAAAAGAAAGGGATTACTGTTACACTTTCCAAAGTGACCTTAAAAGTGCTAGGCCTCCCAGGAGTCTAGTCTCCATTATCATATACATCTCTGTTGCCTTGATTGGATATGTTCTCTCACACTCACCGTGGTAGGAAACATTTTCTGTCACCTCATTAAAATAGTCAAAGCATGGATTTACCCAGAGGAGAGTGAAGGATAAATTCCCCTGCTAGCACCATTCAATGCCCATGCATGTTCTGGGCCAGGCACTGGCTCAGCAGCAGCGCAGCAAGCAGAGGGCTCGTTTCATCTGCTCTTGGCAAACTGATTGAACCCCATGTCTGGGAGAACAACGAGGCTTTAGGTGCTGTTCAGGCAGTTTTTCTAAGTGAAAAGTTGCAGAGAGCAGAGAATGAGAGGATTTGTTGAAATTCAAGTGGAAATGATCAGACTTGCTGTCCGTAGGAAAAGGTTAGTTGTTTATCTCTGTTGGTTCACTAAACATGCTCTTCTTTTTCCTGCATGTCACTTGATCTTTTTACACTCTTTCTGGTTTCTCCCTCTTAAGCAATATCTAAAAAGTGAACAAATGAAGTTCTGAGGGAAATGTGTGGCATTGAACTATGCGAGAGAGGAAAGCCAGAGTTTGCTTCAATTCAGGACTAGCAGGACCACCTGGCCGATGAAGTAAAGTCCTCAGTTTTATCCTTTTCATGTGTGTATTACTGCTGCTTTGAACATCAGAGTGTATTATTAGGGTTCTTTGAAATAAAACTAGTTAAATAAGATAAAACTCATGTGAGTTGTTCCCTTTACAAAAAGAAATTAATGATGGTTAGCCATCTCAGTGTAATCCTTCTTTATCACAAGCACCAATAATCCTATTCTCACAAATACAGCAACAACAACAATTCCAGATTCTTTCCAGACAATAAGTAACACAAAAGAACTCACCTTTTCTAGACACATTTCCCTGGAAATGCTTTTCTCTTCTTAGTTGCTTTCTTGTTCTTGGAATCTTTTCTGTCTTATCTTTCTCTTTGTCTCTCATACAAGCACATACTCCAACAAATCTCTCTGCCCAAGAGAAAACTTAGAAAAATACTCCATCCTTACAAGTCCCATTTGCATTTGCCGGTATCATGACTCTAAATTTTGGGTTGAGGTCCCCTTTAATTTGAATAGAGGAAATGAAGGGTGTACTTTCTCCAGCCAGTTGCCACACAGTTTAATCACACCTCTAGCAGTGTTATATAGGGTGAATTGATCCACAGTTTTCTATCACTCATCACTGCATGGTGTTATTATTTTAAATAGTGCACTAATCTGGATCATCATTCTTGTAGGTGGATTTTCATAAACACAAACCAAATTATAATCATATGAAGAATTTCTCCAAATAAGCAAAGCTGTCCTTATAAAATGAGAGAAACAGAATGGCTCAGTTGTAGTGTTGTGTGTATTGTCCATTTTTACATATTATTTTTATTATTATTGTTGTTGTTGTTGTTATTGTTATATTTCCATGCAGGGCACATGAGTCATCATTTGCTATTCTGAGACATAACATCCCTCACTGAAAACCTAGGCCATTGAGCCATAAAGAGCATGAGTTTATCCAGCTCATCCAGTGATACATCAAAAATCTTGACTAAGAGCACAAAAATTCCTATTGTGCAAACAATAATGCATTATTAACTCTAATATGAATATATTAGGTGAATATTTGTGGTGCAAAATAAACATATAAATGGTAGAAAATATTTGTCTTTCTCTAATTTAACTCCCTGAGAAATGCAAGAGATATAAGTATTAAGTATATATTATGAAGCACAGACTATCAATTATCAGTACTCTTCAATGTCCAGAACAATACAAAATTCTGTAACATAACTTCTTAATTAAAAAGAAATTACAGTTTTGCAGCATCAGCATGCAGAAAAAAAAAAAAAAAAAGAATGATTATGCAAATGGCTGTGCAATGAGCTGCATTTTTAGGTAAGTAAAGAAATTGTCTAATATCTAACATTTGATAATGTGCAAGAAGTTTTGAAACCCTGGTTACATTGCAAAGTACACTGATACTTCAGAAAAGCCAATTCATAGACAAAGACCAAGCGCCTCTCCTCCTGTGATTGCCTTTTAACCATTTAGCTTTCACTTAAACTCTGCTGGCATGTATTGAATAACCTACCCAGATTGTTTCAGATGAACATGATATGGAACACTTTGGAGACATAAGTCTTAAGTCATGAGAAAGCTCTCCCAGTCAATCCAGGCACTGGCTTTTGAACCCAGTTCCTGGACACCTTTTTCCTGGATGCATTGTTGATCTCATCTTCTGTCTGATAAGTCCCATGGTAACATTGTGTGTCTGTGCCTTTTGCCAATAAAAGGGTTGTTGAAGCTGATAAGAGTCACAGTAATAATATTTCTAATAGCAAACTCAGCACTGCTGCACAACAAATGATGTTTATTTCATTACAAGGAAGTTGCAAAGTATAATATTTTTGATTGCAGTTTTACAGTACTCAGAATTAATCTGTCAGGACAGCAGGCTTTATCCTGCAGACAAACTCATTTGTAATCCTCTCAAGTATTCTACCATGTGACTTCAGGAGATAAAAGAGCCTCCTTTAAAGTATATTTCCATAACCCATATTGAGTGATGCTAAGTACAGTGGTATCTCTCCCACTAGATTAACTTTTAATTATTGCAATTTCTCTCATGAAAGAGACTGTAAGATAGAACAGCAAGTCTTTACACAGTCATTCTATGGGCAGAGGACATTTTATGTTAATTTACTGATTTATTTAAGACAAGAATTCCAGCAGCAAGTGACAGTAAGTAGAAAAGTATAACAAAACTCAATATATTCTCATTTGAGAAAATCTGACAGTGGATTCTTTAATGCTGCTGTCTTCCCAACACTTAAATTATTCACTTCATTTCAATAAGAAAATTCTTTCATGTTGCTCAGACCATATTTTAGCCTATTTTTATGGCATTTCTTTGGATATTGGCATTATGTGATGTTGTTACAGATACTGAAGGGTTTGCTTGAAGCTTCACTAGCACATGATACGTATTAATGTCTCATCCAGAAATCTTCCAGTATAAATGAAGGGCTCAAAATTCAAGAGGAAAGAGAAGTTGAAAACATAAATATATTAAATAACTTTTATTTGGTGGATTTCTATCTGTTACACTCAGCTGTCTTGTTATACATCCATGGATCATACTAGCAGAAACCTGTCTAGTTACACAGTGCTAAAATGTTTTTGTCTCTTGTGTGTGTTCAAAGTACATCCAGAGAAAATTAATGCAAAATACACCATTATCAGTGATCATTAGTAGAATGCATATAGAAAAGAACTTCTGAAAACTATTTTTGTAGATGAAACTACATTTCCCTAGAGGGACACAGAGGAAGAGAGGTAAAAACATTGGCTATCTTTGGAAATATCCGACAAGGAAACAGGGACACCTTAGAGATAAAAAAAGGATTACTTCCTACAGAACTAGTCCCAGTGGAGCTACACACTTGGAAACCTGCATTTATTTCTGCCTCTGAAAACACAGGAGTTCTAAATCTCATGTTTTCTGCAAAACAGCTCAGAGCTAGTAGAGCAATCTCAGCCACTCCAATCTGCAGGAATACTGAAGAGCCGCCAGGAAAACCACCTGATACCCACTGACACATAGAGGTGCTATTATTTTCTGCTCTGTAAGACCAGCAAACTATTATGCTCAGCAAAGAAAAATGTTTTAGGTCTAAGTAATTATTTTCCCAGTGACCTTAAAATATCCCTGTTGTTAAGAATTTTCCTTGCACAGGGCAGTCTCTGTAATAGGATCAGGCAGTATGTTTCTCCATGCCAAGTCACTGAATGCTAAAATGATTTGTCATCTTTCGCCACAGGCCACTGCCTGACACACACATGCCACAGTCTAACATCTCGCCTGCTTTGACATCAAAGTGCCTTTCTTTGGCCATTAACAACAAGAAGAAAGGCAAACAATGGCAGAAACTTCCATTCTTTCTGGGAGAGTTTTAATTAAATAAAAGGCCTCAAATAGCTTAATGCGACTAAGGCTGGGGGAAAACCTTTCATCATAAAATGAATTAAATCTATAAATCTTGCTTATTCTCTTCCCCTGCATTTTTTTTTATTTACTTCACAGTCACATTATTTCATTCTCTGCTGAAGTTTATGACAACATTATATGATATCTCCTGGGCTTTCACAGTCTATCACCTTTTACATCTCGCTCTTAATGCCATAGGTCATAAAAGACAGAGCTCATCTCATTTTACAAAGGGGAAAAGGGAAAGAAGCCCTACGTAAAACATCCAGTTGCAGAAGGATTTTCACGTGCTGAAATATACAGTTGTGAATAGGTCCACTGAGGCTTTTGGTAGCAGCAACTCTGCCTGTTTTGAGGGATGAGTGCTTTCTACAGCATGCCCCAGAGACCTGATTTCCCAAATCTAATCAGCAAAGCAGAAATGCAGCAAATGCTGTGCTCCAGGGTGGGACCAAGGTGCAGCTGGGGAACATTTTCAGGTTTGGTGGGGTTGTCTATGGTCTTCCAGTTTAGATGTAGTTAATCAGTGCTATTCATTGATGTGTCTTCACAGGACCGTGTTAGAGACAATCACTTTCCAAGACAAGTCTCAGAACAAAATGCTCCCTTCTCACCCATGCCATTTTGGAGGAAATAAAATGCAAAAATTCCTGTATGTATGCCAGCCAAAACCATTGCAAGATTCTTCACTCAAATGAAAGAGGTCCTTCCGATGGCAAGTGGCGTTATAATTATAGACTAGAAAAGAGCAAGATCAGCAGCTGCTGCTGCTGCTGCTGCTGCTTGCGTATGTTCCCTGTGTAACTGACAGGACAGACTACTTGGCAAAAACAGACTTCCAGAAGTGGAAAGACATTTTAACCCCTGTTCTTGTCAGTCCACTCCTCTTAGGACTCAGCAGCAGCAACCCCTTGCTTCAGGTTAAGGGAAGAGCAAGGTGATTTTTGCAGATCTGAAGGGGACTTGGTTTAGGACGTCTGAGAAAGAGGAAGGGTCCAGGATTTGCCTTCGGGCGTGGATTGCTGAATCAAAATAGCAGGTCAGTGGATACAGTTTAAGCTTAATATGTTTTTATAGTTGGCTTAACTCAAATCTTTCTCCCTCACTTTCTCTTCTATGCCGAAAACTAAAAAATAAGGTGAAGAATGACAAGGGGTAAGTCTGCATAGAGGTACTATTTATTTATATATTCTGTAAAAAGCCTTTCATGGTCAGTTAGGAAACATTGATGGCTGTTATTTTGTACTGTGGTTTCTCTCTGAAACTTAATGCATCCTGAAATTCTCAGCCAGGCAAAAATCCCATTTATGACTGAGTTCAATATTAACAGAGAGGACACACTTATATTTTTAGCTGTTTATGCCTAAGGTCTTCTGATGGTCTCCGCAAAAGTGAAAGAATATATAACTCGCATTTCAGTCTGTGCTTGAGAAAGTTTCAGAAAGTAAATAAACACTGAGTAAAAAAAAAAAAAAAAAAAAAAAGCAGCATCATAAATATGAGTCAAGGTCTCTACAGGCATGAAATGGGCATAACTTGTGTTATGTCCTCAAAACTCACAAATCCATACCAGTAAAAACCCTAGCCCTATATTTGCTGATTAATTTAAGGGCAGCATGATAATTAGAAATGTTTTTTTCATTACACTGGTGCCTGTGGTATCTGATCTAATGTACTCTGTCCTTCTTCAGCCCTGGCCAAAAGAGTGCTTAGGAAGGAATGTGCTGGGGGGCATCGTTATGCTTTGCTCTTCCTGTCCATCTCAGTTTTAGCTTTTTAATTTCCTGTGGCCATAAGTAATGTAGGAAGGACTCTCTGCCAACATGCTGCCCATGAACCAGGGGCTTGGGACCACTGTGCAAGAGCCAGAATCAGCGCAAGGCTTTACGCCAAAACTTCCCCTTGCAAGGGGAGGCCGTACCTAAAGGGTTGTAGTTGTTCTCAGAGAAAAAAAAAACACAAATGCAGATTTAAATTTGTGTTTGGTGAGTTGAGAAATCTAACCAAACAAATGCATAGCTGTCTTTCATAGCTTTGTATAGTCAAAATTTTTCTGTAATCACCTAATCTGACCTAATGTATATTTTAAGACTTTGAGTTATATTATCCTGAGGTCCCTATATGAACACAATGATAAATGTTAAGGAAAGCATTTGCTTAGCAGGAGGATAAAACAGAGTGTACAATAGGCAAGGAAAGGCAAGGAAACCAAGGCACCAAAGCCTAAAATTTCTGTAACAGTCCCACTTTTCTTTGCCCCCTTTCAGAGGCAGAAAGAATAAGCAGGACCATCCAATGTCTTCCAAGAATTTCTGTTCAGTCAAGGGCATTGAGTAAGGTGCTAAGAGATGGCTGGAATGTGATTAAATGAAATATAGTTGCTACAAGCAGACAAATTGCATTTGGTGGATAAAAATCTTCTCCCAGTGTAATGCATGGGGGTAATATTATTAATCCTGATTCCTGTTATCACTACAGCTCTGCATTAGTGGCCAAAGCCAATCTACCAGGCCTTGCAAGACAGGATTTGCTTCAGGTCTGTAGAGAAGGTAGACCCACTTTGTCCAGCTTAGCTACTGAGCAGTTTTTAGCATTTCCCACTTTCTGATAGCTGGGACGAAGGAATACTTCCTGAACCTCCAATGCAGAAACCAAGAGTCAAGTTTTTGACACTAATGGCTGCCTTCCTGTAGAGATGCAGAATCTCCAAGGGTGTTCCAAGGAATCTTTTTTCCTCTGTGGCCCACAATGATGCCCAGATGCCCAGATACCAGGAGAGACCAGCAGAACCCCTCAGTTCATGCCTGTCTCAGTTATGTGAATTCTTCCTGAAGGTCATCTTCTGTCTTACAGTTTGCCCTCAGCTTAAAGATCCTAAACAAGAGGGTGACTATCCAGTCCCCTGTTCTGATATTTGACTGTCCCCAATATTAGCAGTTTATGTTTCATTTCATCCTGCATTTGTCTAACTTCATCTTCTCATTGTGGCCATTGTGTTGTGCTGAGGGTCTGGGTTTTTGCCAAGCTACAAGCCCTCCCATTATCAGACATCTTTTCTAGATCTAAGTCCCTGCTGGAGATTTCCCACTGGCAATTTCCATGACAAAGTGGATATTAATGGGGAGATAGAGACACATTTGTTGGTGCCATGGTTTGAACACATACTCCACCCATCAATGGGCAAGATCGAAAGGCTCCTACAATAGTTCCAGGAAACACAGTATATTTTTAAGCTTTTTCTTTTACCCCATTCCTCCTCTATAGCCCAGCCACAGATTTCTTTCATTGCTCACAAAGTGCCACTTTTGCTGGAGAATGGACATCTTTGCCTCCATTTTCTTAAGCATTGCATCCTGACCACAAGATTTTTTCGCAGACACGACTGCATTTCCATGCATGCCAGTCAGACAAGTTGGCTCTTGCACTGAACTTCTTGGAGTACAACAATGTAAACAAAAAGTTTAAAGGTCTGTGCCAAGGCTCAGGAAAAGAAAAATATCGTCTGGATTCTAAGGACCAAAATCCATGGGTTTTTTGGTTTTTGTTTTTTTTTTAAGAAAGAAAAAAAAGCAACACAAAAATATTTAGACCCATACTGGCAAATATCAAGCAGTCATTCTACAGAGGAAAAGAGACAGCCTGTCAGCAATACAAAGCTTATGGTATCTTTTCTCTGCTGATTCCCTTGGTGACTAAAATCAAAACTGGCAATTTTACAGGTAAACTTTTACTATGCTCTGCATCAGAGACATAGCCAAGATGCACAAAATATTTGTCATCTATTAACTAGTACAGATTTTTCTCCCCCACCCCCCAATAAATTTGCTGCAGTGGCATCAAGAATAATATTTGTGATACACAGTAACTTTCTTGAGATTTTGTGCTTGTCTTAACTAGTCTCTTTCTTGCATGCTGTATAGAACTGCTTTCATTCACATTTGCATCTAGGATTTGTTTTGTCGGCATATGAAAGTTCCTGCAGCATCTCCCTGCACTGGGTAAGCGAGTACCAAACCCAGCACAAAGTATTTACCTGTGTATTTTCGGTTGTACTTTAATTACACTGGGTCTCACACTACCTACCTGAGCAGCCCTAGGGCTGTTTTGCATGGTCATGCAATGCTGAAATATTGAGGAGTAAGTCTAGCTGCCAAGGAGAGAAATAACAGCATTCCCCAGCTGATTTCAGCTGCTGTCGTAACTGTTAATGAAAGAGGCAGTCTCCAAATCTCATTTGTTTTTTCAATGATTATAATTACCTCAGCCGACTAAAAATACTGGCTGGGGATGTACATGCATTTGTGGAATTTAGCTTTACTTCTGTTACCAAGAAGCTGAAATTTTTTGAAAAAAAGTCAAGCAAATTTGTTTCCTATTCTTTGCTCACACTAGAGTGGAGCAAACTGAGTGTAAGCAGAGACTGCAGAGGTGTAATATGTCCCTGCCTCTACCACCCAGAAAGGTGGCCACATTCAGTGCTAACTGCTGGGTTTGGGTGGTCATTGACATAAAGCCCAAACACAGCCTTGCATCAGTCAATCTGCAGGTCTCAACAGGGCTTGTAACTGCAAGATTTTTATTTTTCCCTCTCTATAGATATATGAATACAAACACCATGTATTTATGTACACATATTTTATATATTTAAATTTACATGTATATCCGTGTATCTATCTATACAAGGGTACCTTCAGGTTAGGATATACACTGTCTAAAATGTTGTTGGTGTCCTGCTTCTCTTCTACTGTTTCTAGGCCCAGCCTACCACGACGATGACAGTCACTTATTCCAGCAAAGTAGCAAATGCCACTTTCTTTGGATTTCACAGATTACTCCTAAGGTGGAAAGGCAGCATCTACAAATTGCTGTACAGAGAATTTATTGTTTTTGCTACTCTTTACACAGCGATAAGTGTATTATACAGGTACACTCTTTCCAATTCACATCTCATTAAATGTTATGCTGAAGTTTCAGACTTCCCAGTGTTAGGCTGATGAATGATGGGGGGAGGTTACTCTTTACTGTCTTTTCTCTGTTACTCTTTACTGTCTTTTCCTTGGACATTTTCCAATGTGCTTACCTTTTCATGTTTACTTTATGGTTCTAGAGGAAATATGTAGAGTGTCAATACTGTTTATCATATTCAGCTGATTGTCCTTTTAGCCTAGCATTGAGCAACCATCCTACTGAAGTCAGACTACATAAAAACTCAGAGCAAGCCTAAGTTATACAGCTTTTGTCATTCTGACATTGAGCTGTCAGTTGTGAGCGTGCCTCCCTGCTTTAGATCAAAGGTACAGACCTTTTGTCCTCCCTGCAGAACTCTGTCTTTTGTTTCTCGGTGGGAATTTAACAACACTGAGAGGTAATCATTTTGGAGTGAAGTTATATAGCCAGGAAAAGCAAAGTTTTGCTTCAAGCTAGGAAGGCATGCAAACTTGATTTTAAAGCTTACAAAGAACCAAGTAAAACTGCATGGAAGCCAGACATGGTTATTGTCTGTGTGTCACCAGCACCTGGGAGGAACACATTAGAAGAAGAATTGTTTTTTCCATCAAGGTGTGAATTAAACACCGTATGACAGATGCAATGCATCAATTAGTACAGTGAAACTTTTAATTGATGAAGTACATTACATAGAAGTATCAAAATTATGGTTCAGTTCTTACTGTGATCTCTAATTAGATCTCTGCTTTTTATTGGAAGCAAGGAGAAGATGAGCTTCAGTTTTCCTCTAATTAATAACTATTTTTTGCTCAGTAATCTATACCTGTAAACAAAGAAAGAAAATTATAGCATTGATACGTAAAGGAACACCAAAGTCTCACAGTTATTTAAATTAATCTAGTTTTATTGAAATGTCAGGCAATTGATGATTATGGTAAATATACCACCATATAGAAAGCTTTCTATATGCGCTCCAGTTTATTGCACAATTGTAAGCAAAACCCACCAAATATTTGTTATATGTTCCTTTTATAAGAAATCAAAGAATAACTGTAATACTCACCTATACAAATAAAAAAAAATTATACTGAAGCTTGTTGTATTTCATCAAATACCTTTTCCCGTGGGCAGAAGCTACTACCATGGCCCATTTGCTATCATTTGGTGAATATTTTCCTGATTGCAAAATATAGTTGTATTTTAATCTTGTGGAAAAGAAAAAATTCATAGGAGTAAGAATAAAAAAAACATTGCAACAATGTAACATTTTCAAATCAGAGGAATTCTTTTAACCTTTTGCAATTCAAGCAGGCCTGAGCATTTCCATTAAGTACCACTTTGGAAAAGGAAACTAAGCTCTACTTGCAGACTTAGAGCTTACTGTCATCTTTAGTCTGTATGGGACAGCAAACTGATTCTCCAGACATATTGATCCAATAGTAGTGCCGTTCAAATTAGTCCTGAGAAAACCACAAAACCAGGGAACAATACTGTTGTTTCCTCCAGGTTCTTTAATACTTGCCAACAGTGTCTTTACCTTTAAGAATTTGCTTGAAGGCAGTAGCCAAGGTTGCTCCCCAGTGTACATATCTGATTATTTATATGTATTTGCACTTAGTAGCTATTGTCAGAATATTATGAAAGGACAGATACATTTTATTTTTGCTGCAGATTTTTTCTTACAGGTAGCCAAAAACGCTTCTTTGAAAAATTATCAATTTACTGTGACAAATATGCTGAACAAATCCCAGTAACTTTCGTGCTTGGTAAGTACCGGCTAAATGTGAAAATATTCTTCATTATAATTATATCTCTGTTCAGGCATTTGTGAATGTTGGTGCATGGAAGCATTTCAGAGCTGAGGGGCATGTGGGAGGTTAGAGGTTCACAATAATCATGTGCTTTCAACAGGCCTTCTCAAGTTCAAGTTGTTTTTGTCACGTCAACATTTATGCTCATCTTTTAATATAGTAACAAGAAAGGTTTCCGTATATCTAGATCATGCCCACTTACACTGATACCTTGTACCTGGTCTCCCAATGAAATAAATTCACCCTAAGTTTTACTACAGAAGGGGAAATTTGGAAATTCGTGGGTATGAGATAACCAGCTAGAATGTTACATTGCAATGTCCATTAAATAATTAGTCTTTATTGGTTTTGACATGGCTTATTGCATTTATTCTGTGAAATGTAGCAGCTTAATGATATGAAAAACACTCTGCAAACTAAAATTAAAGTAACTGAAATCCTGATAATCACTGGACTTGGTTTTTTCCTTCTAACCCTCAGGTTTCTATGTAACTTTGGTGGTGAATCGCTGGTGGAACCAGTTTGTGAACTTGCCTTGGCCAGATCGGCTGATGCTGCTCATCTCCAGCTGCGTGCAGGGCAGAGATGAGTATGGGCGCCTTTTAAGGAGGACTCTCATGCGTTATGTGAATTTAACCTCTCTGCTGATCTTCCGCTCCGTCAGCACCGCTGTGTACAAAAGGTTCCCCACCATGGACCATGTGGTTGGAGCAGGTACTGCACTTTGCCTCCCCTAAATTGCTTTCTTTTCTCTCAGAGGTGCGGGCTCAGGGAGGGAAGGAGCCAGCCTCATTTTTTCTTTCCTGCGGCCCTATGTGTGCCTCATACTAAACCATCTCAAAAAAAATCACCTTTTTGTTAGTGACTTAAATGATATAACCTTAAGAGTGCATCTTTAATGTTCTTAAAGTCTTTAGCAACACTGCAGAAATCAAGCGAGTTTGACAGTCTTAAGTGAAGCTGCTTTCAGACCCCATGGAGGCAATAGGCCTGCCTTAAACACTCAGGCATATGGAGCAGGTACAACATCCTCTAAAGAACAAAAAAACCCCCAAAGTTGCAATACAGTATGATGCAGTAGGAATGGTGACTTGTTATATGGCATTGCCCCAGTGTCTGGGATATGACTTGGTCTGGTGTATCAAAGACTGATCTCTGCAGGTGCTTCACAAGTACAGCTTTATCTCATATTTTATTTAAGTAGAAATGTGCAATCTATTAAAAATGTGCATTTTTAATAGATTGCATATTTTAAGTGTTGTGATTTACTCAAAAAACTCCTCAGCCCCAAGGGTTTTTTCTTTGTATTGAAAAACTTACTTTAAACTTAGTTTTTCAAGGATAACTAAGTACTAAACATGTCTGTTTTCTGTTTCTTTCAATAACACAGTGAGTGTAATGATGTTCACGTGAAGAGAGTTCAGTTGTGTAACACTTTGATTGTCTATCAAGGACTGACTGCTCAGTGTTTAAAGGCAAGGTGTGACACTGTGCCTTCTGACTGGCATGGTCAGTGCCAGAGGTAGAACAGCAATGCAAAGATATGGGGATCTGTTCCAAACAGAAGTCATGTGTTCTACTGAATGTCTTGAATTTCTTAAAATTATTCCTTTGGCAGTAAGCAAAGTTGTAGCAAGTTAAAATATGCAGTGTAATTTACATATACACATTTCAACTATGTGTGAGAAGCTTCAGATATATTAAAAAAAAAAAAAAAAAAAAAAAAAAAAACAGAATGCACCAGTCTTACTGAAAAAAAACCTCAAACCATTTATGTAGGATTCATTGAATTGTAAAGCTCTCTTCCTTGTGCTGTGCAACAAAACTGTTTACCTGAGCCAGTGAGAGGTCAAGGAAGCTTCTGTCACTGTCCCCAGCAATCTGCTTCTATTATACACTGGAAAATTACAACATTCCCAGGCAGCTAATCCAGCTCTGCCTCCCTATTGCTAAAGACAATCTGTTCCAAAGAGACAGAATGTCACAGCATTGTACCAAGTGTAGACTGGAAAGCAAGTTTTGATTGTTGTTTTTTTTGACAGTGAAAAATCTTCTACTATAAACTTTGTATATAAGTATAGACAGTGTAGCCAGCTCTGGATTTCAGTACTTTTTTTTTTTTTTTTTTTTTTTGGTAGGTATCAATGCATATTGTGCTGCAGAGTTTTTATTGATGCAGTACCAAGCTTTTCAGGGTATATTTTGCTCCTGTTAACATCCAGTGACTTGGACAATACTCTGTAATCATCCCCTCCCTATCTCCCTGTGGCATTGCATATCAGAGTGCATGGGAGGGAGGCATTTAATATGAATGTGAGCAGCACAAATCTGATACTTACAGCACAGTCATCATTGAAACAACTTATGATGATTTTGCATTTTTCTATCAAACTGTGAACTGCCATGACATAACTATTGCTACACACTTCTCCTTTCAGCAAATGAACTGCTTAAATTCATAGATTTTAAATTTAAAACAGTGCCACAATGATCTAGTCTGACTCATCCATAACACAAGGTACAAAAGCTTGCTAGCAGCATCCTTTATCATGCTGCAATTTCTGACTGAGCTGTAATACCTTCTAGGAATGCAATCAGCCCAGATTTAAAATTCAGATGGAAATACTGGAGACTACACTGCATCCTAGGTGACCAGACAATCACAACAGTAAACTTGCTGTTGAAGAGTGACATCATATTCTCAGTCTGAACTTGCACAGTGCTATCTTCTATTCACTGAGTTTTGCAATAGGTTTGGATTCTTCTTTTTTTTAATTAGAAGGAAACATACTTTTCCCCTCAATGTTACTTGTTAGTAGACTGCAGAAAGCCTTGAATGAAACTCAGGAGCTTCACCAGCTGTAGGCTCTTCCTACAGTCTTGAGTGCTGGGCCTTTCTTCTGACTCTTTTTCATGCTTTAACACTCTTTGTGGAACTGTAGACAGTAGGTCCATGTGGATTCACTCCTTCATGATGCTGACTGCTGGTGCACACATACTGTAAGTGTCAAATGCCTAGCAGCTGTCCTGAGCACAGCAAGCATGTTGGCTGCAAGGTGCAAGGGGGAAGTTGGATGCTCAAGAACACAACTGTTAAAAAACAGAGTAATGAGTGAGCATCTGAGCAGAGAGCACCCCAAAAGAGCTGATGGGAAACGCTGAAGACAAACATGAGGTGTGAGCTCAGCAACATGAATATCTATGGGTGGCTGAAGACTGCAGTCCTAAATCCTTTACTGGAAGCAGCTAAATTAACCCTTTCCCACATAACACAGAAGCAGAAAATTAAACTTTTATCTACTTGATCATGTTCCTTCTTCTCTAACCACTACTATTAAAAATATTTAATGTGAATAACCTGAATCAATCTTGTCTCAAACCATTGAGTTTTGACAGGAGAACTGACTACTCTTTGAATTACTCATGAATGATTTTGTCCCAGCCAGGCTTGTGTTCTCATCAATAATTTTCCTGTATTATCTCTTTGGCTGACACTGTTCACATTAGTATCCTTTGATTGTTTATTGATTGCACTCCATGTCACTCTTCTGATACTTTCACAGGGATTCAGTGCCCTGTCATTCCTGAGATCATCCTTTTCCTGATCCTGGAACAATGTTTGACAAATATTTCCCATTTTCTGGAGCTACTTCAGTATTCTAGTGCTTGTCAAAACCAGTACTCTTGTTTATAGAGTTTCTTGGTTAATTCTTTGAATACTCCTAAATAAAAATAGCATGACCATATTTAGAAACCACGTCATTGTAATAATTGAAATTTGATACCCTCCCTTATATTTAAGGGAATATAAAGTGTTTCCTTATCACTGCAATAACAGTGAGCTATTCTGAAGTGTATGTTGTCTGTATTGCCAGCAGTAAGAGCAATCCAGAATTAATATTTTCTGCAATAATAATACTAGGCATTATTAATATTAATAAAAGAGAATATTTAATAAATATTTACACAAACACTTCAGTGCCAGTTTGACCTTTATCATTAAAAAAAAAATCAGACTTTGTTGAGCTCTCTGAACAGAAGGTGCCCAATTTCAGTGTAAAGCTGAACTGATCCTTGCTGTTCTTTGTGACCCCTTCAGGCTGAGTCTTTCCAGAGCCCCCAAGGGACATGCATCCAGTATTTACTCCAGACTCAATTCTTTGTTTTTCTGCCTGTCTGTTTCAGCCTGACAGAAGCATCTTTTCCTGTCCTATAATAAGCAGGCTGGCTGGACAAAAACTAAAGGCAGCCTGAAAGACTGACTTTTAGGAGTCAGGAACCATGACTAGCAGGTTAATTTGTCTGGTTACCTGATTATTTCTGTGAAGTTGATTAAGAGAAGTGGCTGCAAAATGCCCAGGGAACTTTTAAAAGCTTTATCTTATTCTGTTCTGAAATTTTATGATACTGCATGAGTACTGTCTCTTGCTGCTGAATATTTCCTCTTCCACAATGTTTTCTGTCCTGTCCTTGCCTTCCTTCTCAGTACTTGCAGTATTTCATACCTCCTGTGTAGGCTTGTTCCAACTGTACAATACTGACATTTTCCTCAACAACAGAATATTCAAGATCACTGTGTTTAGCAAATCTCCTTTAATTTAATTCACATTTCTATGCAACACAACTTTCTATATATTCTATATATTTCTATATATGAGTTTCTATATATTTATTCGTTTGCTGTGTCATGTGTCATTAGCAATGATAGCCATAATGGACATATTCTTACTCACTGGAGTCTACTGTCAATTCTCTTACTGAATTTTCAGCATTCAAACTTGTAATTGGTTGGCTGAGCCCCCTATTTTGGGGCTGTCATGTTACTAACTTTGTCTTATTTCAGAACTAATGTCAATACAACAAAAGAAGCTTTATACCCACCCTCACAGATGTCACATACTGGAGCAAAAACTAAATCTGCCAAACATGACAATTGCTCCAACACCAGAAAATACAGAATTTGGACAAAGGAAAATGTGAATTTTCTGAGGTTGTTTTTGCCAAAGCCTGGGTGGAAGGAGGACAGCAGAGCAGACCTTTCTTCCCCAGAGGGGTAGAGGTGTTGCTCCAAAAGCCAGCTGCTCCCTTGGCAGTCGCAGGCAGAGACTGGCTCTGGTGCAGGATTTGTCACACAGAGACCTGGCTCCCCGGTTATGTGACCTTGGACTCGCTTGCAGCAGAGGGAACCAGGGCTTCACAAGGCAGGAGAGCTCTTCAGAAAACCTAAAACCTTCCCAGCTCCCCAGCAAGGAAAATTGCCAGGCAGAGAGCATCTTCAGCTCGCAGCCCCACAGCATGTCACCTGGCCCAGCGTCCCCTTAGCAGCGGGATTTCTGTGCATGATTCCCTCTTCATCTCTTTGCATGCCTTCATAACCCCAAAGAAAACATCAAACAATCTGTCAGGGAAGTGTTTCACTGGCAGAAGGCACACACTCTGTTGGGCTTTGTTTCATGCATGCACTTGTATCCTCTGTTGCTTGCTCACTGCTTTGCAGATATAACAAAAATTATCAGAATCAGAAGGTCATATAACTGCCCTTACAATATGTCAAAATGCTTCTGAAAGCCATCACTGGTGAAAAATGTTTATTGACTGATATGTCCAGTTCCTTATTTTTCTGAAAGCAGAATATGAAACTAGAGAGTAATTTGTACAATTCTTAGTATTCTATGTTTCTACCATCTGTCAGCAGTTAGATATAAGAACACAGTAATAAAAAAATATTGCCTATATAGGTAAAGAGGAATTTAACATAGGTAATTAATGGAAAAAGAAGTTCTTTCAAACAAGATGTGTCCTGGATTTTTTTTTTTAAGAGGAGGTTACTAGTTAGAATTATAAGTTGTGTTTAGCAGAGTTCTATGCAAATATTACATAAACAGATAAAAATATATTTCAAATGTATAGACTCAGTAGTACTGAAAGCACAGAATAAATTAAGGTTATTTTGTTTTTTGGTAAATAGGTTTTATGACAAAATATGAAAGAAAACTTTTTGATGATCTTAAGTCTCCCCACCTGAAATACTGGGTCCCATTTGTCTGGTTTGGAAATTTGGCATCAAAGGCACGAAAGGAGGGAAGGATTCGAGACAGTGTGGATCTGCAGACACTGATGAATGTAAGTAGAAAAAGGAAATCTACAAAAAACTAATCTGAAATTGCTGTGTTGCTTTTCACTTGCATAATTGGTTTTATTTAGTATGCACAGATCTCCTGTGTCATCTAAATGACCTTACTCAGGATTTGTCCCTCTTTTCTTTGTGTACCAATGCACATCTAAACACACAGCAGCATTCATCTGGATTCTTTTTAACATGACTAAGAAGATATTGCAAGAAGCAAAAAATTGATGAGTAAAAAATTATTGTAACATCACTCTAAATTCATACTTGTCCCGTTGCTAAAAATATGAGACATGAAAATAATTTGGCATTTTGAAGATTTTATCATCAGCTTCAGAGAAGATAATCTCCCTGAATATTTCATTAAGTGGTAAAATATCCTTTCTATGATGTAATATATTCTCTTTCATGTATCACTAGACTGTGAATAAAACAGAAGGAGAAGATGAATTGTGAAGAAATACAAAGTATACTAAGCACTCCAACTCCATAAACGAAGTCAATATTCAAATGGGGTGCTGGGTACAGTTATAGTATCAATTTATATATACTATACTTTCTTTTCTCCCTGTCCTTTTATATGTGCAAAAATGAACTTCAACAAAATATTTACAAGGCAGAATTGTATCCCATGCAATTTTATTTTGTTGTGGTTTCTTGCTGGTTGGGTTTTTTTTTCCCTTTTAGGAAATGAATAAGTACCGGTCTTGGTGTAGCCTTTTGTTTGGTTATGACTGGGTTGGAATTCCACTGGTCTATACCCAGGTACTGAGCTATTATTCTGTAGAAAGTTCAAAACACAATTTCCATAAAAGGGGGGTTGGTGCCAAACATTCATGGCATAAAACATTCATAGCCCCAGCCTGAGCCTCTGAGATACTGAGCACTGGTTCACTTGCACAGGATCGTGGAGGCCTGGCTAACTATTTAAGGCATATTTAATGCAGAGATGTTTTGAAGATCTTGCATCATTTGGAAGAGGGGAGAGAAGCATTGAAATGTTTTTCTGTTTCCTGAGTGTTCTTCCTGGCCATAATTACTCCTGTGGTCTCTGAATTTGCAATACCTCCCACAGATTTATAAATTATATGGGTTGCCTTATGCATGAGAGTGTATCGGTTCATTATTTCAATGAAGTTCTGTTCCTTGCAGGTTGTTACTCTCGCAGTCTATACCTTTTTCTTTGCCTGCCTGATAGGGCGTCAATTTTTGGATACTGACCAAGGGTACCAGGGACATGACTTAGATATTTACATTCCAATCTTCACACTGCTGCAGTTCTTCTTCTATGCAGGATGGCTCAAGGTAAACTGCCTTTCTGGACAGGTGATGGGGGAACCCTCCCGGGGGGGCGGGTCAAGGTATCAGATCCGTGACACACGTGTAAAATCTCCAATGAATACGGAAGTTACCCAGAGGTGAATTCCGCCTGAAGTGTTCTATGGTCATATGGAGATATCGTGCAATGCATTTTTAATTCCGCCTGACAGACCGTATGGTAAGAAATGGTCTGAATTTGGTGAATCTGAAAGAGCCCATTTTAGTAGCACCAATGCCACCACAACTTCCTAAGGAAGTATTACTCCCACAAGGTCTCAGGACTTGAACTATAAAATGACAGAAAAGAGATTAAAAAAAGCCTTTCTCCCACTCCATTCTGCAATGGGGAACTATGGCTGCATCAGCTGAAAGGGTCTGCATGATACTTTCTTATGATCAAAGCTGGAAGTATCTGCTGTTAACCTCATCAGATGCAGGCAATTAAAGGTCCCCAGTTCCAGAGGGCTATGAAAGAGTGACAGACAATGGTGGCTAGCACTCCACTGCATAAAAATGTTCATTAAGAAGAAGAGTTGTAGAGGAATTGGATGCTGCCCATCAGCCTGTTGATGACTGCTGGCTAATCTACCACAATCAATCTGATAGCTGAGTAATTAAGCCACATACCTCAAGGTGATTCTCTCCTCAAACAGATTTGCTGGAAAAAAGTTTCATTGGGGTTCATGTACATTAGATTTCCTTTCGTGTTCATTAATCATGGATGGAAACATAGAGCTAACTTTTCTGTTAGAATATAACTTTTGTGTTAGAATATAAATTGAACATGGTTAGCTGTAGACACGCCTTCCCACAGCCAGCTCCGAAGGGCAGAGTAGAGAAGGCAGCACACTGAGCTGGCAGATTGTGAGGAAAAGTAAAGTGCATGCAGGACAAGCTCCTCTAGTGTTGTGTCCTAGGAAATGAGAGGGAAAAGGATTTTGCTGCATAGGGACCAGCCTGGATGGGAGCGGGAGAGAGAGGAAGGGAGGCTGGTACAGTGAAGGTAGCAACTTCTGGAGAAAAGTGAGGCTTTATCTGTAGGCAGTGTCTGCCCATTATACTACAGGGTATAAAACTGTAAGCTGTTCCTCTTGACTGCCCTGCTGGTGCCCCTGGAGAAATGGGTTTTCCTTCTTCAGCACCCAAGGATGTTTATAGCATCTCCCCCTGTAGTTAGGCTCGAGCTTCCAGCCAGCTCCTGGCTGTGGCAGGTATGAGATGCCATTGTAACTGAAAAAATATTCTGCATAAGGAAATTAAAGAGAGGAGAAGAAGTTTTTGAAAGTTAATTCAATATCAGCAGAGTTTCCTCAGGCTGGGGGTTCATCCAAACCTCCAGTGCCCCAAGTCAGGATATTTTTGTCTTGAAGCTTACAGCCAGTTTCCTGCTGAGAGTGTTGGACTTTTGGCTGCCAGGAAGCAAAAAGGGCCCTGAGGTATTGACTTCCAGTAACTTGGCAATTCCTCAGAAATAATGGGTAAACTGAGCTCATTCCTTGGCCTCAAGCCTGATCTGAAATACCTATAATACAGGGCCAAAGTTTCCCATTACATGAGACACTTTTAAATCCCCATTTTCTTTACAGGGACAGAGGAGATGTCCAAATGCAGAGTTTAGTTGTCTATCGCTACACTCCTTTCTGGAAAATAAAGTCATGTCTCACATGCCAGGACCAGGTCAGCCAAAAAAAAAGCCACCACCACTATTTGCTCTGTCTCACTTTTTTAAGCTCATGTGATAGGTTTTATGGTGGACTTTTGGGTGGTGGTCCACTGGCTTACACAAAGCTGATCCATGTCTTCCCTGGAGAGCCACAACACAGACTGTGTTCTGGTTCCTCCCTTTTGCAGCACTTTCATAGTGTACCCAGAATTTAATACCATGTGAATGAGAGTGAGCAGAGGTGACCCCTGTCTCCTTTCATTGCTCCTCCCTTACAGGTGTTTTTGTAGTGTTAACCTACTCAGCAGCTCTTTTGTTGTGTGCCAATGCTGGCCTGGGAGCTGGTGGCCTCAGAGAGTCAGCAAGTGCTTATCCACAGGTACAGCCTAGAGGCACATAGGACAAATATGCAGGGAGCAACTGCTTTACAGCTATAAGTTATTTAGATCATAGCTGTCCATAGTGAGGTTAATGAGCAGGACTGTTTAATCATACAGTTGCTTTACCCATACCCACATTAAATCAAGGACCTGGCTGCTGCTCCTGTGTATGGCCCTGGTGATCACAAAGAAGGCTTGGAAGGGCTATCAAGAATGTGATCAGCTCTAAAACCAGGGCTTAAAAAGATAAACAGAAGGAGAAAAGAATGGAGAGGATATTTCATGTCAGTGTACCAAGAAACTAGAAAACAGAGAAGCAGTCTGAATTTCCTAAATTTTTTTTTCTATTTAAACTTTTTTTTTCCTCCATTAGCAGCTCTGTGCTACTTTAGTGACCACAGGGGTGGGGGCAGTCTCTGTGGGTTTTTTCACTGGATATGGGGAGCCAGAGAGGGTACCTTTCCAGACTATTCCCAGACTAAGGTACCTCACCACAAATATGTCTGAGCTCGCTGTTTGATTGTGTCCTCCACAGGATGAGCTTCTGCCCTGCAGTTTCAGCCACTTCAGGTACAGAAACCCAAGTCAGCAGGCTGAATTAAAGAACCAGACTCAGGTGCTGAATTAAAGAACCAGACTCAAGTTCTGTCTCTGGGATTTGGCTAGCATGATGCAGAGTTGACTTGAGTCACGTTTTTTTGTACGCTGCTTTTCCTCAAAAGCTTTGGAAGATTGCCATTGGGGCTAATGCTGATAAAGAAGTAGGGGCTGAGGTGGACTCCTCCAGCAGACTCCAGCTGCAAGGCTTGGGAATACTGACCCCATGGGCTGGTGGACTATTGCAGACAACAGTGCAATAACAGAGCCTCTAGCTGCTAAACCATTCATATAAATGAGCCAAAGACAACAGTAAGGAAAGGTAATGACTATTGGATGTGACAATTACCTTGGCCCAGACATGTCTCAGCTCCCAGCAGGCCAGCACTGACAATTGTGATTGACAGCACCAGCGAGGCACAGAGATATGAATCTATAGTGAAAGCAAGCTGTTCCTTCGCTAGGCTGGCAGAACAATCACACAGGAGCTCAAGCTATGATTGCAAGTGACAGGCAGGGAGAGAGAGAAAAATCCAATCCTACTTTCTCTGCAGCAGTAGTCCTGACATGGCATGCCAACCTCTCTTCACTGTCTCGTTTTCTTTCCAGGTTGCTGAACAACTCATTAATCCATTTGGAGAAGATGATGATGATTTTGAAACTAACTGGTGCATCGATAGAAATTTACAGGTTGCTGTTGTTATTTCTGCTTCCAGCTTTACTCTACCATGGGTTATCATTACATCTAATACTATGTCTTTAATTGAGGAATAAATCAGGGCAACAACTGCTAGCAAAACATATTCTTTCCCTGAAGGACCACCTGTGGCTGTGATCCACAGAGTTTGTTTTCACAAGCTAATTCATCTTGATTTTGGTATTTGGCATTTACAATGCCTGACTAAACATGCAAACAGCTGACCTTAAATTGCAAAACCACTCTATGCCTGGAAAAACATGTAATGTAGGTCAATCCTGCAAAATCCAAAATTCATTCCCACATAGATAAGAACACATTTTGCTAATCTGAATGTCTCGAGATTAAAATATTGCATATGAACCTTCCTTTAAAAAGAAAGGCAGCAAATATAGTAAAAACACTAAGCAGGGCCCTGAACTAATAAGCAGGGCGAGTACCATGACTCGTGTTGGGATGCTGTCACCCAGCCAGTATCGGTGGTCAGCACAGGAGCCAGTGTCCCCAGTCACAGGGTCTGTGAGATGACAAGGGTACAGTTTTATTCCAGTTACCCCTGATTCCCAAAGAGCCCTGGCTGTTGTGCTGTCAAGGAGCTCAGAGACACAAGGAGGTCCCACAGCACCGTGCTGCTCCCCTTGCATAGAGCCAAGCACAGGGCTGGCTGAGCTGCTGTCAGATTCCACTCCAGGAAAGCAGAGCCCAGGAGTTAGGGGGAGCAAGGGCCAAACAAACTACTAAATTAAGCAAAGTAACCAGAGTAAGGCGTGCAGGTATGTGCAAGAATGGGAAAGGGCTTCACATGGACAATGATGCTCTCTGGGTTAGCACCATGTCAGGATACTCACACTACTGTGCTTAGAGCCTGTTGTGTAAAACTTATTAGAAGGATGTTCAGATACTTGATTTGGAATGTCTTAAACTGGCAATGAAGCTTATCAGAGAGATTCTTGACCTCTGGACACTTCAAGGAGCACATGCGTAATACTTTACACAGATTTTCCATAGCACACAAAGGATCACATCTAACTCATTATATGTGTGGGAAGGACTTCAATTTGGCACAAATATCTTGCAGTACAGAAGATTTAAGTTATAATAAAATTTATTCTTTCATGAGTATGGGCAGATATTGGGGGTTTATTTTGTAATACTGAGTCTCTTCCTAATGCCCAAGCCATCATACACAGCTTATGTTAAAGGGTTTCTGAAGGAAATGTTGACACAGGGAGTATAAAGTAGACTATTTCATATACTCCACTATGTTGAAAGTGACATGATTTATGCAAAAAAAATTTAAGGTTTCACTTCTGGCTGTGGATGAGATGCACATGAACTTGCCAAGGATGGAGAAAGATATTTACTGGAATGATACCTCTGCTCGCCCACCCTACACAAAAGCAGCTGCTGATTACTGCATTCCTTCCTTTCTTGGATCGACTATTGAAATGGGGTGAGTGGCACTAAGGGTCCTGAATGCCATCAGACAGGTCACACCCCGACAGTCTGTACTGACTGGCAGACAGTCAGTGCAGGGATGCGGGCTCTGACGATACTTCCAGCGGAGAAGATGGAAATGGGAAAAGAACTTAGTAGAGAGTGGACAGGCTGGTGTTGGTGGGAGGATGTCTCCAGTGGTCCATGTGTTCATCCAAGTTGTGCAGGCATATCTTAAACTGTGTAATCAGTAAATAGAGTGTGTTTGCAGGGAGGGTTTGTTGATAGTCTCTGAACACATTTGTTGATAGTCTCTGAGCACAGGATGATACCTGAAGACAGTGACTGACTTATCTTAATAATACTTGCTCTGCTACAGCTTCTTCATGCATCCCCAATTAGCAAAACAGCTATTCCTTTGTTCATTTAGTTAGCAGACAACAGTTGAAATCAGTCCAGATTTTTGTGAAGATCAACAAGAAATCATCTTAAATGTTTTATGGCTTTTCATTAACTAATAATCCTGGCATGGAAGTTGAAATGGCCAGATTTTGTGAAGGTATGAAGAGGATTTATTTGCAGAGATCAACAAAGCACAATAGTTACAAAGAATAGAGGGTATGGGATTGCCCCCTGTTGTCAGGATCTATATGAGGGATCAGTGACAGGCCAGTTAGCTTAGGAGCTGTTAGTTACTTGTGACATGCTGTAATACAGACAGGTCAATAAGCATAAATGCCATCATGCCTGAGAAAATACCAAGCAAGTAGATGTTCCCTTCTGAAAACCTTTTTAAAAACTTTACAGACATTTTTTAACTTTTAAAATTATCTCAAGATATTTACAATTTTCCCATCATTTCCCATCTTTATCAAAATAAAATGTCTTTAATTTTTTGCTTCATTTGGCCTCAGAATTGTGGTTTTCTCATTTTTGATCTTTTTTTTTTTCATTTTTGCATGCATTCTATCACAAGGGACAATGGTTTATCACACACAGCCATTTCAGAAGTTATTTCCTTCTGGAAAAAAAAAACAAACACTATAAAATGGCAAAAAGAAAAGTAAAGAAGGAAGTAAAAAAAAAACTAAAGAAAATTTCATAGAATATAGTCTATTTTAAGGTAATTTCTAGGGGGAAAAGGTGGCAAAGAAGAAATATCATTAAGTCTATTAAGTCTGCAAACAATTTTTTAATAAAAAATTACTTCACACAAAAAATTAAGGAAGGAGAGAATGAGAAATAGCTCCCTGATAGCCCCTGTGGAATGCAAACAGCTCTGATGTGTTGACTTTTTATTAATTATCTTCTCATGTGAACTGTTTCTCTGTTCATATCTCTAAAAATTATGGATAACTCTTATGCAAACTTCAAAACCAAGCTCTAAAAATCCTTCCAGGTCCAAAGCAAATGTATAAAACTTGAGCCAAAACCCAAAGCCTTCTCCAGTCACCTCAAGCTAACATCTGGAACAAGTTGCCTAAAGAGGTGGTAGGTGTCCCATTCCTGTAAACATTGCAGGCCAGGCTGGATGGGGCCATGAGCAGCCTGATCTAGTTGAAGGTGTCCCTGCTCAGCACAGGGAGGTTGGATTAGCTGCTTTAAGGGCCCTTCCAACATAAACTGTTCTATGATCTTCACAAGTGCTGGATGAAGTTCCTCTGTCCCTCCAGGTTTGTGTTGCCTGCCTGTGCTCCATGCCTCAGGTTTGGCCCAAGCCCCTCTGCCATTCCTGTCCTTAGGACAGGTAACTGGGCCAGCTTGGCTTGCCCAGACTGCACTGTCAGTGACGTGTACTGAATTCACTGGCATGTGCAGCAATAGCTGTTCTCATGAAGCACCAAGGCTGTGCAGGAGAAGAGCACCAGGTACAGGTGAGACCTTCAGACACACTGTCATGCTCCAGAAATAAGTGAGATTTGGCCATCTGAGTAATTTCAACATTTTTTGAAACTGTTGTCCTCTTTTCCAGCAGTAGCTTTTTCACTGTTGCTATTTTTGCCTGAAGGATTCTCCTGAAAAAGTAACTACAGCACTGAGTAGGGTTCCTTTCTCCCCTTTCCCTCACCCTGAGCACAAGCCTAACCACGTGGAGATGCCTCAGAAGGCTGCAGCTCAAATATGAAATGGTGCCAGATGCCTGGCTGGATGCCCTCCCAGCCTGCTCCGTAGGAGAAGTGACATCTGGATGTGGAGAGTTCTTTGTGTGATCTGGCTGATTCAAAGGCACAGACACTCTTTCCTGGCACCCTCATGCTTTTCTTCCTTCTCTTTAGGGACACACTAGGCCTTGGTTCCTATGTCTTGGGTCCTGTGTTTGAGACAGAGGGATAAATGTGTATAGATGCTTCCTATATTTAAGTGACATGTACTACCTGGCTTTACTTGGCAGGCTGGCTGATACTGAATTTCTCTATGGGGAAGAGTGGCCTTGGGAAGAGGAGAAGCACCACAGACAGTATTCGGTTTTGAGAAGAGTCAAGAGGTTTCTCAGCGTCCATGAGGGTCCTTCATACCCCACTCACCAGCGCTACAGTCGGCAGACAAGTGAGAATTCGGTGTTTTTCCCAGCAGATGAAAAAGGGCACATCAGACAGCTGCAGGAAATGCACACAAGAGGGAGGCACTCTACCTTAAGCTTCAAGAAGAAACATGAAGGAGTTTCCAGAAGTAACAGACTTCATGGTAGCCGAGAGCTAGGACCCATAACAGAAACCTCAAGGAACGAGGCACAGTTTGGTGACAGTGACACCTCATCTGAGACAACCAGGCCAGTTCCTGAGGTCATCGTTTCTGAAGCCCAGGAGATTGAACCTGATGTGGTGGACAAACCAGACCTGCCAACAGAGCGCTCCGCAAGCATGCCAGAAGAGAAGCTCCAAAGGATCATAGCTGAGGCAAATGTGGCTCTTCTGAACCAACACTTTTTCCCCCCAGAAATGACTCCATACCTCTCAAGTTCAGAGGTGCATCAGTCACTTCCTAGTGTGATAGGAGAGCCCAAACATGAGCCCCAGGTTAGTAACATAGCTGGTCTCATAACAGATCATGAGAGAAACCTTCAGCGATGGAGTTTACCAAGCTTCCATAGTCCTAGTACAGCATCAAATGCTGATGCTGCACCACCTTCCACAGATTCTGAGACGACTTCACAGGAAAGGACATTTAGTGATGGAAAAAATGGCACTTCTGCTTGTGCTCCACAAACATTTGAGATGCAGGACTTATGGGAAAACCTGGACAGTAAAGAAACAGCCATAGTAGAATTTTCTAATGAGGAGAGTGAAAGAAAACTTTGACCATTCTTCCTCTGAGTTTGACTGAACTTCTTGTCTTCTCTTAAACATGGTTCTCACACAAATTTGCTGAATGTGAAGAAGGGCAGACTCAGTACTCAGACAAGTCATGAACAAGATCCAATAGAGGATTTGGGCATCTAAATAGGAGGCATTGTGTTGACATATTTTAAGCCACTTGGTCACTGGCTTGAAATCTGTGACCCTGTGGGAAATACACTTACAGGGAGTACTGGGAGCCTCAGGATGTATACGGCAGTGAGCTGTGTAGGCAAAACTAGAGGAAGCACTAAGGTTATCAGAAGAGTGGGTGTGGTTCTGTCTACTTTGAATATACACTGAACTCTGCTGCCTTTGTCTGCTCCGTCAGCTTAAGGTCCATGACATCCCTGTAAGATCTACCAACAGTTTTGGTTTCTACTCAAGTGGCTCAAAGGCAAGATGAAGGTCCAGTCCTTTCTCAGCCTGGAGAGATTCAGCCCATCATCTCTCACTGTCTGGAGGAACACTTGAAAAATCAGGCCCCACATTTGTGTAGGACAGAATCCTGCCCCACTCCTGATGAAGCTATGCCACTAAAGAGTAGAATAAATAAAAGGATTAAATGTTTAATATAATTTTAACTAAAGGTAGGTGCAAAATAGCTGATGAGCTGGGCATGGGATGTCTGAGCCTTGGAGCACATATGTGGCATACCCAGTGACAGTTTATTGTAAAATGAGGCTCCCAGGTGGCTTCCCTAGGGATGACAGGGCTGCAGCACTCTCTCAAGAGGTGATGGAGCTGCAGGTGCAACTAAGCCTAGGGCTCCACTCTTGTGGAGATCTTCAGCTGGAAGTGCACAGGCTGTAAGCATCCCAGGCAAACAACAAAGTGACCCATGACTCCTACCAAAACTGGTCTCCACTTCCTAAACCTCTCCCCCATTCCCATGCTAACCAGATGTACCACGCACATTCTTAATTAACCCAAACCTGAGTCAGCATTAGGTGGCTCCTGCTGCCCCAGGGATGACCAAGCCACCTCCCTAAACCTGCTGATAGTGACCTGGACTTTCAGCTATCACTCCTGCAAAAGAAGTCTCAAAGTAGGCCAGGAAAGCAGCCACATCTCCTTGGGTTTAGCTCTCACCCATGTTTACAAAAGTGCAGTCTGCAGCATGTTGCCAGCATTCTCACATCAGTGAGTAGAGGACAGACAAGGGAGAGACAAGGTAGCTCAGGAACTGAAAGAACAGAGAGAGGGGGGACCAAAAGTTAAGAGTCTGCAACAACCAGCAAAAGCAGTATGGACTGCATGGACAGAAAATCCACCCAGCTCTCTTCCTCAGAAGGTTGCACTTCAAAAAACAAACCAGCCTCTCTGCCATGGTAAGTGGTAACACCAGTGGCACCTGGGAGACTTTAGGACTTCCTGAACCTGGAAAGGGAATGAACAGACCTGCCTGCTCCTGCTCCTACGGCCACTTAGGCGAGGAGCCCTTCTAACTGATGTCACATACAGCAGGACCCTCTCTCATCTGGGTAGGCTTTGAACAAAAATCAACTGCCCTCCCCACTTGTACTTTTTCCAGCTTTATTTCAGCCTCGAAATTGGCTCCTGCTGCTGTATATTGGCACAGTCTGAGCAGCGCCACGCTTTCAAACCCTCCAAAGACACTAGACAACAACACGTGTATCCCATCAGTTTAGGAAGCAGAGGACACTTGGCCCAAGGGAGCACTGTTTAAACTCATATTATGTGAATTCCAGTTCTGCAGGAAAGCCAAGCACAGATGTGCCAGGCACCTATGGAAGGACTTCTTCACACCATGAGATGAGGTGACACTGGTGTCTGACAGCAGCTTATTGAAATTTGATCACAGTTTGGAGTCAGGCTTACTGGTGCAACCTCACACTTGCCACTCCACAAGGTCTTCAGGCAATTCAGGTTGCTATGTTTAGGTTTGACCAACAAAATGAAAAACTCAGCAGAGTGAAATTATACAGAAATAAACAGCGTCTTAGCCTAGCAGTCCAATTTTCTGAATGGCCCTTTTGCAACTTCTGGAAGCATTCCCTTTTTCCTCCTGATTCCTTCTATCTTGTAGCTGAAGCCACACTTTTCAATTCAATGTTTCTCAATCTCATTGCATTTGCAACTGTCAAGGAACTTAATTTACCAATGTGCTTAACTTAAATAAATGGCTAATTTTAAGTACAAACAATACATTTTAAGGACAGCCAGACAGCTCCAGTCACACAGCTAGAAACAAAGTAAAAGTAACTGCTGCACTTTTGTCAGGAGAGCAGTACAAGTTTCTGGGGAGTTTGGCCATACTTCTCCCAGGCAGGCATGTATAGGAATGGTTTTCAGCAGCTGTGAAGGCAGCCTGGCCCATGATCTACCTCTCTCCTTACAGTACATCAGCTCAAGGAGCTTCACACTGTAAGGGAACTTGAGCCAGAAATTAGAGATGACTCTCAAATGTCCACCACAAATCTGCACTGGGAGTCCTGTCCCACCATACCTGCTCCCTCTAATTCTTCACACAGCTTCCGCCAGGGCTTAAGGTATTGGACCAAAATGCTGTTTGTCCCCAACCCATCCCTGCACTGCTAAGAGTGAAAAGCCTTCCCAGCTTCTCATCATTGAGCTCTGCTCCTCTTCTCAGCCTAGCTGCTGCCCAGGATGCACACTGCTGCTTTCCACTAGAACATTATACATCCAATCAGCAATAATTTTGCTACCTCTCCTACTCGCTCTGCCAGCACTCCCTGGCCCTGCAACATTCATTATTTGATGGAGGCTCAGGGTGGCCACGCAGCGGCCATTAGGCAGGTAAGAGCTTCAGTTAAGCCCCACAGAGGTGTCTATTACACACGTAGATGCATGCTAAATTAGGAATTACAGCTCTGAAGTCACGCAAAGCAATCTGCAATACACAACCAGCATTTCACACAGTGGGCCAGCTCCAGGTTAGCTGCAGTTCATTGCTTCTAAAGAAGTTAGTGCTGGTGTGAGTTACCAGAAAAATTTCCTCTTGTCATTCAGTCTGTTATCTCACTTTGGCAAACATTAGTGTACTCTGATCTGTATTAAATTATCTTTTGAGATTATATGCTTTCTTGCACACTTCTCTCAGTAAACTATTTGCCTTAGCATGGTAAATGGAGTATTTTAGCAAATCCAACAATCCACAATTCATGTTCACAGGTATAAGCAATGTTGAATTATTGCATTAATAAAGGCACTTTGAGACACACCATCCTCCTGGTTTTACTGAACTCTCAAGAAGCACTTCTGGCAAGGGTTTGACCTATCATGCAAATCAACTTGATGTCTACCAGGAACAGCAAGGCACTTACAGAAGCTGGCAAAGTTGGACAAGGATAGAACAGGGCCAGGATAGACAAGTAGGTCAGAGCAGCAGTTTGCTCCCATCAGATGGTGTTAATCTTGAGCAAGATCAGATATATCAGAACAAAGAGAGGGTTAGTAGTCCCTGTGCATGCTGCCTGACTTTTCACCTGTTTCTAGGATGTGTTTCCACTCTGTGCTGGAATTCGTAGAGCCAGGATGTCAGTACTGGGACTGACTGGCTGTGGGGACATGTCCCACTACCCTTAAAATCTTCTGTTGTAAATAACAGATCTCTGACTGCAAACTCACATTTGAGGAACATATACATATTGTACATATAATGAAAATATACCAGAGTGTTAAGTATGCTGCATAGTAGAGAAAACAAAAATATCCTGCTGCTGTTAAATGAGGAACAGGGCTTTATAGATGTTTGTTTGTCTTGGCTCATGATCAAACAAATGACATTTTCTAGACAAATAAGTTAGCTCACGGTCAATCCATTCTTTAAAACTGACAGGAACAAAGGGGAATCAAGGCAAGATTGACCTGAAATACAGGGTAACTTCACACAGCTCAGTCTCATATGCAGAAAGAGACAGCTGGCAGCAGAGTCTCTTTTGCTAGAGGTTGATAGCCTGGATGCCAAATGTGTAACACAATGTGGCTGCAAATAGAGAGTCATGGAAACAGGCACCAGGGACAAAGATTATTTCATACTGGAAGGCAAGATCAGTATTTAGAGATACCTACAGGAAAAACCATTCTGTTTTTGTAATACTTATTGAGTCTTGCAAGGGAAAACTTAAAATCTAAGGGGTTGTGATTGTGATACCACCAAGGCCAGCAATGGATATTGCCTTTGGTCTGTGCCAGGCACATCCAGACAGCAGTAGCAAGTGCCTGGAAGCCACCAACCTCTGTCCAGCAATGCCACCATGGGGCCTGTCTCCATCTGCCCATGGCTCTGCCCTGCTGGGGAGGTGCCCAGCACACATGGCTGGGACTGCAGACATTTGCAGGCTTTAGGAAGATACAAGCAGCCCCAAAACACCAACACATTTTTTTTTCCTCCAGGACAAAGAGCAACCTGAATTTTCAACTGTTGTTCCACCCTCAACTCCCAGCACTGTAAAGAAACATAAAATGTAACAGAAACAGCACTAAGATAAACCATCTTTTGTTTGGTTAAGTTTTATTCATGTGTATGGGGGTAGTATCAGCTTTAGCAATCCAAACAAATAACCCAATGGGTAGAATTTAGGTGAATCTTTTGCCAACTCAGCACAGCTACCTGTGGCTGTTTCATCTGAAACTCCTGCCACTGCTGACAAGTGGCTGAGCAAGGGGCAGTAGATGTGTAGCACTGGTGCATGGATCCCACAACTCATCTGAGGTGGAGGAACACTGGTATCCCTTTGCATGGGCTGCAGTCTGGGTTTCTAATGTGAATGGATGCTGCTCCAGCTGCTCACACTGCTGAGGGGGAGAGGAGTCAGGCACTCCTCTCTGACCTAAGCATCTGACCTAAGGCACGGACGTCAAATGCCGAGACCCAAAAAAGGAGAATTACCAAGGTATAATGAATCCCAGGGAAAAAGCAGGTTTGAGAGGTGGTGCAAGGAACAGTAGGTGACATTAGTGGCCACACAAGCATCAGTCAAAT